GCCGAGGTGGCCCGTCCTCTGAGAGAGAATAATTATCTGCTTTAATTAAACACATTATACTGTGTGTGTATGTGTGTGGAGGACTGTGTTTGGCTAAGACAGAGAGCATACGAGAAATTAATTGTGTGTAATCATGTGGTGTCTGTACATGCATTAGTCCATGAGGTGGTTTGTGCATCAGTGTGTGATATTTGGATGCTTGCTGTGGGTATGTTGTGTGTTTACATGATTGAATCTGCCGTGTTGTTTGTGATGGATTCACGCCGACAGTGTCACACAGCACTGAATGCTCCTGTGCAAAAAGAATCAAGATTTGCAAACTCATCAAGGCCGAAGGAATTTTTCGGCCCTTTGCTACATCTGTAGAGAGAAATGTGCAGTATTTTGGAAAACATATTTGCTGTTTGTCTCATAGTCAAATCAGAAGGTGTATTTAGCCTATTGTATTTAGCATGAAGACTAAAAACTGCTAGTCTAGCTACATCGAAATGGAACAAAACCTCCAAAGTTGTCGGATTTACATGCTGTATCTTGGACAAAGTAATATGATGTAATAAATAAAAGTGACAGTCAAACCTCAAATGATGGAAAATGATGTAAAACATAATGGAAATATGTAATTTCTCTCAGTTTCATGTCTTGTTGAGAGGAAGGTTGCACTATCCTCATCTCTCCACACACATCTGACATTTTTTAATGTGGAAGTTAAACATGGCAGAAGAACATTTAAAGGTTTCAGGAGCATTTCTTGCTGTGCACAAAGTCCTGTTGCACTGGTAGAGTAGTGGCGATTTGGAGTTATTGGATGGCACTCTCACTTTTAGCCTGCCAGGTTTGCTCGGCTGCACCTGCCTCTCTCACCTCCCTCTCTTTGTTTGCTGTTCCTGATTACGCCACATCGTACACCTGTTGTTTTCACCTCCACCGACCAGCCAGTGAGTGACCTTTTTTTCTGTTTCGCAGCTCGGCCCATCCGCATAGACAATCAACAGCACTTGTTTCATAAGGCGAGATCAGGGCAGCAGTCGGTCACCCAGACCTGTCCCACATCGACGCCACCAGTCGAGGCCCGGAGGTCTCTCACCATGGGAATGGCTCACAATGGCTCCCCCGGAGGATCGGAGGAGCCGATACAACCAGGGGGCGAACCCGGAAGAACGGGCCCACCACATCCACATCAGGTCCTGTTTGTACTGCGGGGCTCCTGATCATCACATCACCTCTTGCCTGGTGCGGCCAAAAGAATGGGCCCACCAGTAAGAGTGGAGACACTAACGGACCGCCCCTCCATCACACCGGGTGACATCCCACCAAACGCTTGTCGACTCTGGAGCTGGTGGGAAGCGACTGGGCCTTTCACCAGAGCCGCTACCCTGCGCTATAGAGACCTGGGCCATTGGCGGCCGGCTGCTTGCCCACATCACACACCAGAACCCACCTCTCCGTCTCAGTGTTGCTGGCAACCACCAGGAGGACGTCCGATTCCACATTATCTCCAGCCCGGATACACCACAGGTCTTGGGTCACTCCTGGCTGGTCCAACACAACCCCACTCTGGACTGGACCACCTTCACTCAGTGGAGTCCCGACTGTGTGTCCACCTGTCTCCTGGCTGGACAACCCACCACTCCACCACTCCTGCTTCTCCATCACCTGAGCCGCCTGACCTATCCTCCATGCCCTTGGACTACCACGATCTTCAACAGGTGTTTAGCAAGCACCTTGCCACTGACTTTCTTCCTCCTCATAGACCCTACGACTGTGCCATCGACCTGTATCCAGGAGCCACCTTGCCCAACAGCTGGCTCTTCCACATCTCGAAACCCGAACATCAGGCTCTGGAGGAGTACATCGAGACTGCCCAACGCGCAGGTATGATCCGTCCTTCTTCCTCACCCCTGGGTACAGGGTTCTTTTTTGTGGGGAAGAAGGACGGTGGCCTCTGTCCTTGCATTTATTACCCTGGTCTAAATGCTATTACAATTAAGAACAAATATCCATTACCTCTCCTCTCTCTGCTTTTGAGTTTCTCCAGGGCACGGCAGTCTTCACCAAGTTGGACCTCAGGAACGCCTACCTCCTGGTGCGGGTATGGGAAGGCGATGAGTGGAAGACCCCGCTTGGGCATTTTGAATACCTGGTGATGCCTTTTGGCCTCACCAATGCCCCGGCAGTTTTCCAGGGGTTGCTCAATGACGTCCTCCATGACTTTCTCAGCCATTTTGTATTCATTTATTTAGATGACATTCTTGTTTACTCTTCCTTTCTGACAGAGCACATCCAGCATGTGTGCCTAGTCCTCCTTTGGCTCCTGAAAAACTACCTGTATGTCAAAGCGGAGAAATGCGTCTTCCACTTCGTCTCCGTGGCATTTCTGGGGTTCATAGTTGAACAGGGAAGACTCCACGCCGATCCCTCCAAAATTACTCCAGTCACCGATTGGCCCACTCCCACCTGTGTGAAGGACCTGCAATGCTTCCTGGGGTTTGCAAACTTCTACTGTTGCTTTATTAAGAACTACATCATGGTGGCTGCCCCCCTCATGCAGCTCACCTCAACCAAGGTGAAGTTTGCATGGTCCAGGACAGCTGAGCAGGCCTTCCAGGAACTCAAATGCTGGTTCACCACTGCTCCCATACTCTTCTAACCCAATCCCTCGAGGCAGTTCGCAGACGCATTGGACACAGGGGTAAGAACGGTCCTCTTTCAGCAGGTCTGAGGGAGACCATGCACTTCATCACCGGGCTGCCTCCCTCCCAAGGCAACACAGTCATTATTACCATCGTCGCCCGTTTTTCGAAAGCCACTCATTTCCTTGCTCTTCCACAACTCCCCGCATCACTTGACACGGCCCAACTCCTGGTTCAACACGTTTTTCGCATTCACAGCACTCCCATAAACATCGTGTCTGACCGTGGTCCACAGTTCACATCACACATCTGGTCCACCTTCCGCACAGCCATCAGGGCTCATCCCTGTCTTTCTTCCGGTTACCACCCACAAACCAATGGTCAAGCTGAACGGTTGAACCAGGAGCTGGAAAATGCACTCCGCTGCGTAACCAGTACATCACCTGAAGATTAATCTGTTGTTGCCTTGGGTGGAATACGCCCACAACACCCTCTTTAGCTTCGTCACCGGTATCTCTCCCTTCCAAGCATCCCTCGGTTACCAACCCCCTCTCCTCTCCGCCACTGAAACCGACATCGCCGTTCCTTTAGTCTAGGCCCACATAACCCGCTATCAGGAAGTCTGGGCCAAGACCAGGGCCGCACTGTTGCGTATGGCAGAGCAAAACAAACACGTGGCTGATCGCCGTCGGGCCACTCCTACTTACCAGGTTGGGTAACAGGTATGGCTCTCGGCCACTCACATCCCCATCAAGCGGGCATGTCTCAAATTGTCTCCCCGGTTCCCAGGGCCTTTCACCATCCAGGAGATCATACACCCCACTGCTGTCAAACTCACACTACCAGACATCTGTATTCATCCTGTTTTCCATGTTTCACAGATCAAACCCGTCTCCTCCAGTTCCCTCTGTCCTCTGCCGGCTCCACCTCCACCTGCCCTGGAGATGGATGGTGGTCTGGCCTACACTGTCCAGCAGATCCTGGATGTCCACCCTAGGGGCCTGGGTTTCCAATACCTGGTGGATTGGGAGGGCTATGGTCTGGAGGAATGGTCCTGGATTCCCCGCTCCTTTAACCTTGACCCCGACCTGTTGACCGCCTTCTACAGGGTCCATCTGGGAAAACCTGGGGGGCCCTGGTGATGCCCACCTTCTGGTGGACCCCGCCTCCTTCCCTGGGGTGGTGTTTTTTGTCTGTCTGGTATCCATCCTCGGCCCATCTTCACTGTAACCTGCTAAAAACTGACTCCCGGCTTTCATAGACTTTACCCTCCGTATTCTTGTCCTGTTGTTATTTCACTACACTTGTATATACTTGTACAGCACCGATTAAATCTGCTTCTACTGAAGTCAGTCCTATGGGTCCATTCTTTTCCGCTCCCGTGTGTGCACGCGTGACCTAACATAGCCGAGGCAGGGCCGCATAGCTCAAATGGCCATACTGTTGGAAATTTTTTCAGATACCAAAATATCCATTTGCTTAAAAACCCACATAGTGATTTTCATTAAATCGTTTTGTTTTGAAGTTTCAGTTTTATTGATTTATTTGAGAACAGATCACATGTGCAACCTAACACAGGTGACAAAACATCACATTTTTTTGTTCAGATTATGTCCCAGACAAATACAGGAACGCCGCAGTAGTCACAAAACATACTGAAAATAAACAAGAAAAACAATGAATGAAAGAGTGAAATGAATAAGATACAGAAAAACTCAAACAATAAATGCATCAAAGCTGATTGAATTAAGATTCAACCTACTGACGCTATAATTTTGACTTCATTATGTTAAAATTGAAATCTTCACTTTGCCAAAGTGCAGCATTGCTACAACAGCTGAAATATGATGGACATCACTTGCACACAAGGGAAATCAAAGCTAGAAGAACAATAACACTGCTGATAATACATTATCTGTATTGGTCTACAAGTATAAAAATATATTTTGAATCAACAGGTATATATACCTTTACTACAAAGTTGTGTTTTTGGCAAGCACGTTAGTGTCAAAAGTTCTGAATGTATGAAGCCATTCTGATTCATTTGGATTGTAACATCTGCTCTGCCATCTTTTGGAAGAAAAAGAAATCCAGTAGAGGGAGTCAAAGAATAAAACAAATGGAGGGAAAAGTTGGTCATGTTTAAAATTTGGCTTGAAAGGACAAAGGATGGTTTAAAGGTTCACAGTATGTCTGGCTGTGTACTGCAGTGGCTGAGGTCTCTGATGTTGTCCTGAGGCCGAAGTTGTAAGAACAGATAGAGATATGACTGCAAAAACAAACCATTAATTAGAGCATGTCAGCACGAAAGTCACAGAAAGAGCTGGAGACAGTCGGACACACTAAGATAAAGACTAAATGCAAAAGACAGAAAGATACAGTATGTCTAAAGAGATGTCAGAAAGTGATCAAGAAAAAGGGGTGAGGTAGAAAAGAGGTGGATAAACATACAAGCAAAAAAACAAAAAAAAAGGTGGGACAAACAAAAGAGACATAAAAAAAAAACAGAGAGAGGCAGATTGTCCAGTGTCGCACTGACTTTTCTAATGTGGGAATTCGTCCACTGGTGTTTGTACCTCTGGTGCTTAATGACAACCGATCAGTGCTCCCGCAGAACTGATGCGTGGACGTATAGATCGATCCTGAAGGTGGAAGGCTGAGGAAAACCTAGAGAGCTACCAGACTGAGACTGGCCAGTTTAAATTCTGACACCCAACCTCAGTACAGGCCCTTCAGATTGTTCATGAAAATATACTTGGGGTGACCAAACTGCACAGGTGAAACTCAGAACCCCGATATTCTGATCTCCAGTAACTCCCACCATGACCCATAAATAAAATCCTCACACACCTTTAGAAAATGTTCTCCAACAGGACAAAAATGCTCAGACAGCAAAGTCTCCGTACCCGGTGGGGCAGAAGGCGGCGCTGCGGAGGGTGTCGAGGCAGTTGACGAGGATGAGTGTGCCAGTCAGGTGCTTCCACCTCTTGGTGATGGGGTTCCTCATCCTGTCCAGGCCGAGGTGAAGTTCCTGGATCACATCACGGTAGCTGTCCCCGATGTGGGCGGCCCATGTCAGGAGGAAGTCATAGGCGGGCTTCCACATAGACTGAAAAACCGGGGGGGTACAGAAAGCAACAGGTTGGACAAAACTGTATTGTCTTTTCCCCATTTTTAATAACGTCAACAGCAGCAGTGGCTGTGACACAGTTACTCAGAGCCCAGCTGCCACAGTTTGCACCAAAACTCAACTCCTTCCTGGAGTCATAGCTCAGTTAAATCTGAACCCACTGAGATGATGTATACATATAAATAGGTTCAGTGTGACTTACACAGGGACATTCATCATCACTGGTATCCAATGCACATAAATGTCTATAAATCCACTTACATACCTAAGGAAAAACGTTCTTCATAACTGCCTTACAGTTTTAGGTTTTCTTCAGTATCAAAATGTTCTGGTGATAGTTGTCTGTATATTGATGAATACACTGCAAATAGGTACTACAAATAATTGGCATACTTTTAATGTGCCAGTTTGCCAACATTTAATTAAGTATAGGCTTCAAAAACAGGGCTCGAGTTTTAGCTCACAGCATAACTAACTGACTCTATAGCGGTTCTTCTTGCATCTTCTGTTAGAACTGTAGTTCTACATTGCTGACATTGTCCTTGTACTCCCAAAATCCTGACACTCTTCTCTATCCTTTCATTTACAGATATTTGTTCTGTGTTGAAAACTTGTGGACATACACTCAGAACCTTCTCAGTTCCCTCACCTCGTTGTCCAGGAGACCATTCTTGTCTCGATGTGGAGCTTCATAAGCCTCCATCTGCTGTCTGGACACTTGGGCCAGTTTCTCAGCCAGTTCCCTCCATCGGGACGCCACCTCCACCGCCGTAGTCAGCAAGACGAAATCCAGGACCAGCCTGGCCACCAGACCCTGGCAGTCCATCTTCAGCAACGCCTCAAAGGGGAACGACACACAGCAGAGGAACAGGCTTTTAATTACATAAAGGCTGGAGCATGAGCCTGGGTAGGTAGGTAGGCAGATAGTCCTAAAAACTGAGGCAAAGTCATCTCATAAACCTGACTGTGACTCACAACATGCTCACAGCCAACAACAAGTTTTATATTCTTGGAAGAAAATGAAAGGAGTAGGTATAAAAACACAGTAACTACAGTATCTCATTTTGCTTCGAAGAAGTATGTTTCTGATTTTCTCCTATTCTGTTAAACATCATTTGACATCTTGAATTGTATCCATTTGTAAACCACTGTATGGCCCCACTGAGATATGTAGCTGTTTAACGTTCAACTACATATGTTCTTACTCATCAAACCTGGTTATGTGAGGGTTAAAAAATCTTAAGCATCATTCAAAGCAGCGGACTGGAAAATATGGTGCTGGTAAGATTTCCCTTTGTTTAAAGCAGCACACAGTTCTTCTTCTTACCAAAAACTGCAGTGTGTGTATCTGTGTGTGTCCATTCAGAGATAAGACTTTAGCTCAGGGATCCCAACTGCTCCTATGTGCACGGCAGGGTTTTCTCTGCTGCCAGCCACAGAAAGCTGCAGACAAGTGGGAGCACTGTGGGAGATGTTACTGGAGGGTTTTTCTTAATTCAATTTTTGTTTGTATAGTGCCAAATCACAACAGTGTATCAAACGCTTTTGAGACTTTTACTTGAACAAATTTCAAATAAGACTCAAAATCTTACAGAAAACGCCAAGAGGTTGCCAACCAACAAGCCTACAAGGGACAGGCCCAGGAGCCCAAGGTGTCAGGGAGCCCCTAGACCAGAAGACCTGTCAGCTGGACAAGTCAGTAACAAAACAACTACAAAAGCAAAACAAAGAGATTCAAAACCACTAAAAAAGAGACAGAAAAGACCTTGAAGACAGAGAAATTACTTCAAAAATATGCCACATGAGAAAAAGAGACAGAACAAAGAGATGCAAAACAAGTAACACATTAACACAAATGGCTAAAACCAGATGCAAAACAACCATGAGAAGACACAAACTGGCTGCCCAGTCTGTGAGTCTGGCTTCTGGAGGCGTAGGAGAGAAGAATCCTAAATGTAGCACGATGTGATTCACACATTGTCGGACTGACTGATCACACCTACAGGAGTATACGCAAAAAGGAAACGCATATAAAGTAGACTGTAAATGTCATTTCATATGACAGACAACTCATAGAACACTAGTCGATGTCTATACATGTTAAGAATTAATGTCTATTTTTGGTAACTCTACACGTTGGTGGATTAAAGGCTAATGTTGATGAGGTACAGGTTATTAATTGATCTTGAGGTGGATCATAACTTCATAGTTCACTGATGATCGTGCTCTATTTTAAACATCTGTTATCACATCTGTTTTTGCAAAAAGTTTAAAATTAAATACGCTCTCTTGCTCTTAAGAGAAAATCTTGAACTGTGGAGCCTCAATTTAATTTAACTGAGCTCTAGTGGTTTCTACTGATTGAGCCTGGCTGTCAGTCAGCTGCAGCTTCAAAGCACACACACAGACAGACACACAGACAGACACATTACACAGGCTCCAGCCACTGAAACACTGTCATCTGAATCAAACTGAGAAAATTTCATGCTGATTTCTTTCTGTCAGTCACTCAAATTCAAATTTATGGTAAAAATATTATGCTCTTTGTTTCTAATTTGTTACCTCTTTTATCTTCTTTTTCTACGAACTGCAGGTGTTTAATGCAATGAATTAACCTGTTAAACTTACAACAAACCAATGTGAGATGATGAATTATTTGATTTTGAAATAACAGCCTGTTTTATTCGCTCCTCCCTTCATCCTTTTCTCTCTCTTTCTCTCTCTCCACCACCTGGCCGACAAGCCCTTTGGCCTTCTGCTGTGATGTCCTCCGTCTGCTGATTCAGACTTCACACAGGTTTCAGTCTAAATATAGAGCAGGCCAGGTCAGGCTGTCCAAACACACACACACAACGTCAGCATTCAACACTCAAGCCTCCTGTCTGGAAATGAGGTGTTCACATGCAAATCAGGAGCTTCTCTACGTGCAGGAGAAACATGTTATTTAAGACAGAAGGGATTAAAACCCAAGGAACCCCAGAAAGCCGGAAGGAGTCTGCATCAAAATGAAGGTCACAAGGTAGAGGAGTGCAAATAGGCATAGTCATGAAGCTTCAACTGAAGTCAAAACTTCATTTTCTGGAAAAGATAAATGTCAATTTGGTCTGAGGCACATACATCCTGCAGCAGACGGAGGTCAGAGGTCAGGGTGTCGCTCAAGGACATTTTGGCAGCTGTTCTTTCAGCTCCATGTTTATAGCTCATTCCTAAATTTTTATGAGTCTACCATTTAAAGCTTCACTGCCAGGAGAGTGAGAGACAGTGGCGGATGCTGCGATGCACTCGGTCTTATTTGTAATTATAACACGTCTGAAAGCATCAAAGGCAGAGTGGTGATGATGAGTCAGGCCTCAGATAAGACTATCACTGGCATAAAGATGGATGTTGGCAGAAAAAAATGTATTTATGTATATTGTAAATCGAATTGAACAGAGAATCTGCCCCTAATGACTCAGCACCATCAGCCACACTCAATAATGCAATGCAAGTAAACTCAACATACGCCAGCAGTATTACACTGTACTTACTACATGGTGTCCTCTCCAAAAGTACTGGATATACACCACATCTAGTTCTACCTGGTTCTGGTTCATGCTCCTACATTATTCACTAACAAGTAGATTCTGACCTAAGAATAGAAACTGATCTGCTACATGAGAGATTAATATGAGGCAGTGGTGACCTGCAGGAAGCCCCAGAGCAGACAGACAGATGGCACTGACACATGACCGGGTGGCTGCCCACTGGCTTTAACTGTGTGTTTATTAGTGCTCCCATGATGAAGAACCTTGACAAAGTCCTTATTTTAACCCAACCTATCCAAGTTGTTTTTGTGCCAAAGCCTAACCAAACCATGACTGTTCCTAACCATAACCATGTGCTTATGATTGCAACCACGAAGGTCCCCTAAGGTTTATATGGGAGTCTACAAACAGGAGATTTACAAGTGGCTCACTCCACCTCTCTGCAAGGATCTATTATTAATCTATCAGCTTCCCTCCTCAGCTGACATGTACAAGGGGCGGCTTCCTCACTTTGTCCCCTGCCTTTGTAACTGGAGCCACGACGTGAAATGATCTGCCTGGGTGGTGTCGGATGCCCTCCAGGCCCCTGGCTCCATCCTGATCAATGGCTGCTCACGTTTCACATGGGAACACCTGTCGGCTAGTGTGGCAGGAAGAGGGAGACGTGAAGAGCTGCTCTAGTGCTCATTCTGCTGCAGCACTTTCATTTTCTCATGCTTCATACTGACCAGAGCGAGATGCACAACTGGGGCCAGACACTTACAGCTCTCTGCTTTTACAGAGGCCAGGGCTTAAATTCGCATGTCGGATTCTAAAACTATGCAAAAAACATCACCATTAGTTATATTTATTTCCTTTAGTTAAGCTTGTTGCCTTATAGTGTCAACTGTTTATAACGTGATGCCCCTACTTCACTGTCAGCTACATAAAAAACACTTATACTTTTGCACCAGCAGGGTACAGGAGGATACCGTGGTCCTGCTTGGTAGCAGGGCGACCTAGGACCAATCCATGAAAGTCTCCTTAACCACAACCGTGTCTTGCATTAAACAGATTAGCTCCACACATGCGTGGCTGTCCTCGAGACTAGGGACACTAAGATTAGTGAAGCTTTGTTCTCAGTGCTGTTGTTCAATAGAAATCTGTCAGATATGGATATACTGTATGCA